CTTCTTCTGAGCCCATGTTGTTTTTCAATCCCTTTGGGAACCCGTATGTAACCCTAACCCTAACCCTTGGTGCACTTCATTCAGTGCTTCTCACCGCACTTGACACTTTGAAACCCCATATCTCCATGAGTTTGCGACCCCACCCCAAACCCTTCACACATGCTAAATGACTCTTCTGACACTCTCCAAAAACCTGCTAGGGTCACATAGATTCCCAAATTTGAGAGGCACCACCAGCCAAAATCACCCTGCACTTGCGCTTTGCGCCTCCTCACGCAAAAACGGCTATCGCAAATCCAAAACTTTTCTGCCACAACACACTCCTCAATGTGCTCTACAAACTGGCTATCAAACATCTCCGACCCTAAAACGGGACACCCTTGTAACCCTAACCCTACGCTATAGACACATGTTGTAAGAACAACAACCGCTCAGCACCACCTAATTGGCTATCCTCATAGAACACATGTCTTGTCATGCGCCCCCTCACAGCCACAGGCATGGCTCACAAGTCTGAGTATCATCCTACACCACCTGATTGGCCATCCTCACAGAACACATGTCTTGTCATGCGCCCCCTCATAGCCAGAGGCAAAGCTCACAAGTGTGAGTATCATCCTACACCACCTGACTCCCTAACTCTCATAGAACATATGTCACATCATGTGCTGCCTCACAGCCAGAGGCAAAGCTCACAAGTGTGAGTATCATCCTCCACCACCTGACTCCCTAACCCTCATAGAACATATGTCACATCATGTGCTGCCTCACAGCCAGAGGCAGAGCTCACAAGCCTGAGTATCATCCTGCACCACCTGATTGGTCATCCTCATAGGAGATATGTTGTGTCCTGCATCCCCTCATAGCCAGAGGCAAAGCTCATGTCAGGACCACACGCACCTGCGCCAACCACCGCACGTGAGGCGACCCAATTGCTCGCTGCTCCCCCCACACATGTGACACACGCATTGCAAGTGCCCTGTTGCCGCTTGCGCGTCTTGCCGGAACTGCGCGCTTTGCAGGCAAAGCAGGCGACAGCGTTTCCCTTAGTCACACTGTTGCAAATACTATCTTTACCCATTACAGCCTGCTTGCCTGAGTCCAGAGCCCTGCTCCTCAGCCAATTGCCTGACAGTTGAGTGTGTATTGCGTGCCACCGCACCCCTCTCAAGCTGTTGCTGCTTGCCACCGGCGTAGCCAACCTCTCACGCGACCCTTGTAGTCAAGCATCTCTTTGGGTCTCACACACACCAACATTTGTGTTGCACATTCACACCGGCACACATCACAGACACAAGCGCAATGGAAGCATTTATTTCTGTGCGTCATTTGGTTCAAGTGCGGCATGCCAT